CTGTACTTGAAATTTTGGATTTTCCAGACACGATGGAGAGACGTGGTGCTTACGGAGCTCATGGAGAATGTAAACAAACAGGGTGGAGTGCAGTGACTGTATTAGAAAGTCAGGTGGGGGGAGCCGTATAGAGAGTTTAGGTCATAATTTGAAATGACTGTATTAGCGGAACACTGTAAAGCAAAATGCCATAAAGCGGGGCCCTACTGTATGTGAACAGTAGTATTAGAAAAAGGTAGGGGAGTTTTTATTGCATTTATGGATTTAGAAAAGGCATATGATAGAGTGGATAGGGGAGCAATGTGGCAGATATTGCAAGTATGCATATGGAATAGGTGGTAAGTTACTAAATTGTGTAAAGAGTTTTTATGAGGATAGTGAGGCTCAGGTTAGGGCATGTAGAAGAGAGGGAGACTACTTCCCGGTAAAAGTAGGTCTTAGACACGGATGTGTAATGTCACCATGGTTGTTTAATATATTTATAGATGGGGTTGTAAAAGAAGTAAATGCTAGGGTGTTCGGGAGAGGGGTGGGATTAAATTATGGGGGAATCAAATACAAAATGGGAATTGACAGTTACTTTTTGCAGATGACACTGTGCTTATAGGAGATTCTAAAGAAAAATTGCAAAGGTTAGTGGACGAGTTTTGGAGTGTGTGTAAAGGTAGAGAGTTGAAAGTGAACATAGAAAAGAGTAAGGTGATGAGGGTTTCAAATGATTTAGATAAAGAAAAATTGGATATCAAATTGGTGAGGAGGAGTATGGAAGAAGTGAATGCTTTCAGATATTTGGGAGTTGACGTGTCAGAGGATGGATTTATGAAGGATGAGGTTAATCATAGAATTGATGAAGGAAAAAAGGCGAGTGATGCGTTGAGGTATATGTGGAGACAAAAAACGTTATCTATGGAAACAAAGAAGGGAATGTATGAAAGTAGAGTAGTACCAACACTCTTATATGGGTGTGAAGCTTGGGTTGTAAATGCTGCAGCGAGGAGGCGGTTGGAGGCAGTGGAGATGTCCTGTCTTGGGCAATGTGTGGTGTAAATATTATGTAGAAAATTCGGAGTGTGGAAATTAGGAGAAGGTGTGGAGTTAATAAAAGTATTAGTCAGAGTGCTGAAGAGGGGTTGAGATGGTTTGGTCATTTAGAGAGAATGGATCAAAGTAGAATGACATGGAGAGCGTATAAATCTGTAGGGGAAGGAAGGCGTGGTAGGGGTCGTCCTCGAGAAGGTTGGAGGGAGGGGGTAAAGGAGGTTTTGTGGGTAATGGGCTTGGACTATCAGCAAGCATGCATGAGCGTGTTAGATAGGAGTGAATGGAGACGAATGGTATTTGGGACCTGACGAGCTGTTGGAGTGTGAGCAGGGTGATATGTAGTGAAGGGATTCAGGGAAACCGGCTATTTTTATATAGCCGGACTTGAGTCCTGGAAATGGGAACTACAGTGCCTGCACTTTAACCCTTTCAGGGTCCAAGGCCCAAATCTGGAGTCACGCACCAGTGTCCAAGAATTTTCAAAAAAAAAATTTGTTATTTTTTCTTATGAAATCGTAGAGAATCTTTTTGTGAAGGTAATAAAACAAAAAGTACGAAATTTGGTGGAAAATTAACGAAATTATGCTCTCGCGAATTTTGATGTGTCAGCGATATTTACGAATCGGCGATTTTGCCAACTTTGACTCCCATTTTAGGCCAACTACATTATTCCAATCAACCAAATTCTTAGCTATTTCACTAGTATTACTTCTATTCTATCGATTGAGCACAAGAAATCGCCAAGTCAACTGTTTCAACTACAAAATAAAGTGATCGGAAATTGTTAATTTGGCCAATTTAACACAAAGTTCAAAATATTCCAATTTCAATATAGGGTCCAGAATAAACAATGTAGGCATTCCTGGCACTAAACTAACATTTCCTCTGTTCATTAGTTATGTTTTGAGGCTTTACAAATAAATTCCATTTTGATTTTTTATTCACATAATGAATTTTTATTCACACCAAAAAAATAGAAGATTTACTGTTATGCAATACTGTAATAATTGTATAAATATCATCACCATATTTGTGAATGTATATTAGACCCACCAGCTGACGTGTATTAGATGTGTGAGGTCGTTTGTTTACTCTTGAATATCGGCAAAAATTTAACATTTCTGCTACTTTGAGCTCAGTTTCAAGCCATTTCCAGTGCTAAAACCAATCAAAATCATCGCTATTTCTGTAATATGTCTTCCATTCTATCAAATGAGACCAAGAAATCGCAAATACAACTATAAAAAACATACGAAAAAACACTGCAAAGTTGCTGTTTTAATCGAAAAATCATGATTTCAGTTTTTTCTCTCATTATACACAGTGTGCTGCAGGATCTGTTTTATGTGGTGCACACATACCACATAGATGTATTCTCTCATATCTAGGCCCAAATGTACCACTCACAGTTTATCAGAGTGAGCTGAGCTCATGGCGTAGATCTACGGTTTGGACACTCACCGTAAAGCCGTAGATCTATGGGACGGACCCTGAAAGGGTTAAAGGAGGGGTTTGGCATACTGGTAGTTTGGAGGGATATGTTGTGTATCTTTATACGTATATGCATCTAAACTGTTTTATTCTGAGCACCTCTGCAAAAACAGTGATTGTGTGAGTGAGGTGAAAGTGTTGAATGATGATGAAAGTATTTTCTTTTTTGGTCACCCTGCCTCGGTGGGAGACGGCCGACTTGTTAAAAAAAAATGTATTTACTAATAATAATGATACGTAATAATAATTACTTATAATAAATAATAACAATATAATAACAATATGTACTATGTACGTACTGTGCATAATTTAGTTTGATAACACCACCACAGTGCTAACCAGTGCACATGTGCTTAGCGAGTTACTCTCACGGTCCAAGGAATTCTTGTGATTTCCTTAAGTTTCGTGCAGTTAATTCGCCAGATTTCTTTCTTCTAACCATGGGTCCTAAGAAAACAAGTGCAAAGGACAGTGCCGAGAAGAAAAAGAGGATGATTTGCATGGAATTAGAGCGAGAAATCATTGATAAGCACAGACCAGGTACATAGTGTAATGAGATAAACATAAAAATTGTACATAGTGACCACTCGCACGATCACAATCCTTCCCTTTGCCGTCCACATAATGACATATTTTATTCATTCTAGAGTGTGTATCAGGTTGCTATGTTACTTACATTGTTTATTATGTCATATTAGATGAATTGACAAATATATAAGCTGAAGAGTTGATAGGATTATTTTGTCATGCCTCCTGAGAGCAGGAATTCAACTGGAACAAATTAATTGCATTTCAATTAATTTAAATGAGAAAAATTGACCCAGCATATGAACAAATCAGGATACGAACAAGTCCACGGAATGGATTAACCCTTTCAGGGTCTGTGCTGTAGATCTACGGCTTTATGTTCACGGTCCAAACCGTAGATCTACGCCATGAGCTCAGCTCACTCTGATAAGCTGTGAGTGGTAAATTTGGGCATAGATATGAGAGAATACATCTGTGGGGTATGTGTGCACTACATAAAACAAATCCTGCAGCACAGTGTATAATGAGAGAAAAAAATCTGAGACCATGATTTTCAATTAAAACAGCGACTTTGCAGTGTTTTTTCGTATGTTTTTATAGTTGTATTTACGATTTCTTGGTCTCATTTGATAGAATGGAAGACATATTACAGAAATAGAGATTATTTTGATTGGTTTTAGCACTGGAAATGGCTTGAAACTGAGCTCAAAGTAGCAGAAATGTTAAATTTTTGCCGATGTTCAAGAGTAAACAAGCAACCTCACATGTCTAATACACACCAGCTTGTGGGTCTGATATACATTCACAAATGTGGTGATGATATTTATACAATTATTACAATATTGCATAACAATAAATCTTCTATTTTTTGGTTTGAATAAAAATTCATTATGTGAATAAAAAATTAAAATGGAATTCATTTGTAAAGCCTCAAAACATAACTAATGAACAGAGGAAATGTTAGTTTAATGCCAGAAATACCTACATTCTTTATTCTGAACCCTATTTTGAAATTGGAATGTTTTGAACTTTGTGTTAAATTGGCCAAATTACCAATTACCGATTACTTTATTTTGCAGTTGAAACAGTTGACTTGGCGATTTCTTGCGCTCACTCGATAGAATAGAAGTAATGCTAGTGAAATAGCTAAGAATTTGGTCGACTGGAATAATGTAATTGGCCTAAAATGGGAGTCAAAGTTGCCAAAATCGCCGATTCGAAAATATCGCTGACACATCAAAATTCGCTAGAGCATAATTTCGTCAATTTTCCATAAAATTTCGTACTTTTTGTTTTATTACCTTCAGAAAAAGATTCTCTACCATTTCATAGGAAAAAATAACAAAATTTTTGTTTGAAAATTCTTGGACCCTGGTGTGCACTTTGAAATTTGGCCTCTGGACCCTGAAAGGGTTAAATTTGTAAGCCAAGGTTCCACTGTATACTAAAAATGTCATAAATGGTGCAAAGGTGACATTAAAAAAATATCTGAAGATGGCTGACACAAATCCACTACCAGTACAGTATGCTCCTTGCTTAACGACCAATTCGCTTACCAACCTAAGAGTAGGTTGTTAGGTTGGTAAGCAGATTGGTCCTTGCTTAATGGAACCCCACCATTAAGTGAGGAGAGGCTGTATTTCTAATAGGTAAATATGACACTTGACAATTATAAAACTAAAACCTCATTGTTGTTAGAGAGGATTTGAATAACTCAGTCACTTGCTATATCATTATTTTAATGATATGGCTAGTGACTGAATATCTTAAATTCTAAATGTGACTAAACCTCAGGTATGCAAAAATTGCCTTGTAGGAAATATAATCTACTTAAAGTTTGATATACGTAGTTTGATTATCTTTCAATTTGTGGCCATTTTAGCAAAACCTTTCCTTTGTGGAAAATGCTACTTGTCAACTGACAACTTTCTTTTTCCCAGTGTGAAAAATGCAACTATGAATACTCAGGTAAACTGGATTTCTGGGACTTTCGGTATTATATGAATCAGGTAGAGGAGAAGATGTATGCTGTGGACCAAAATGAGGTGAGTGATGGATTTAATTTTATATCTTTGTGTTAAAATTTTTGTTAATTGATAACAGGTTTTAAAATTTCTACTAATTGATAACACATTTTATATTGTGAAGTAGTATTATTAACACACTGGCTGATTCCCACCAAGGCAGGGTGGCCCAAAAAAGAAAAACTTTCACCATCATTCACTCCATCACTGTCTTGCCAGAAGGGTGCTTTACACTACAGTTTTTAAACTGCAACATTAACACCCCTCCTTCAGAGTGCAGGCACTGTACTTCCCATCTTCAGGACTCAAGTCCGGCCTGCCGGTTTCCCTGAACCCCTTCATAAATGTTACTTTGCTCACACTCCAACAGCACGTCAAGTATTAAAAACCATTCGTCTCCATTCACTCCTATCAAACATGCTCACGCATGCCTGCTGGAAGTCCAAGCCCCTCACACACAAAACCTCCTTTACCCCCTCCCTCCAACCTTTCCTAGGCCGACCCCTACCCCGCCTTCCTTCCACTACAGACTGATACACTCTTGAATTCAAGTCACTCTGTTTTGCTCCATTCTCTCTACATGTCCGAACCACCTCAACAACCCTTCCTCAGCCCCCTGGCAACAGTTTTGATAATCCCGCACCTCCTCTTAACTTCCAAACTACGAATTCTCTGCATTATATTCACACCACACATTGCCCTCAGACGTGACATCTCCACTGCCTCCAGCCTTCTCCTCGCTGCAACATTCATCACCCATGCTTCACACCCATATAAGAGCGTTGGTAAAACTATACTCTCATACATTCCCCTCTTTGCCTCCAAGGACAAAGTTCTTTGTCTCCACAGACTCCTAAGTGCACCACTCACCCTTTTCCCCTCATCAATTCTATGATTCACCTCATCTTTCATAGACCCATCCGCTGACACGTCCACTCCCAAATATCTGAATATATTCACCTCCTCCATACTCTCTCCCTCCAATCTGATATCCAATCTTTCATCACCTAATCTTTTTGTTATCCTCATAACCTTACTCTTTCCTGTATTCACTTTCAATTTTCTTCTTTTACACACCCTACCAAATTCATCCACCAACCTCTGCAACTTCTCTTCAGAATCACCCAAGAGCACAGTGTCATCAGTAAAGAGCAACTGTGACAACTCCCACTTTGTGTGATTATTTATCTTTTAACTCCACACCTCTTGCCAAGACCCTCGCATTTACTTCTCTTACAGCCCCATCTATAAATATATTGAACAACCACGGTGACATCACACATCCTTGTCTAAGGCCTACTTTTACTGGGAAATAATCTCCCTCTTTCCTACACACACTAAATTGAGCCTCACTATCCTCGTAAAAACTCTTCACTGCTTTCAGTAACCTACCCCCTATACCATACATCTGCAACATCTGCCACATTGCCCCCCTGTCCACCCTTTCATTTGCTGTTTCCAAATCCATAAATGCCACAAGAACCTCTTTAGCCTTATCTAAATACTGTTCACTTATATGTTTCACTGTAAACACCTGGTCCACACACCCCCTACCTTTCCTAAAGCCTCCTTGTTCATCTGCTATCCTATTCTCCATCTTACTCTTAATTCTTTCAATAACAACTCTACCATACACTTTACCAGGTATACTCGACAGACTTCTCCCACTATAATTTTTGCACTCTCTTTTGTCCCCTTTGCCTTTATACGAAGGAACTATGCATGCTCTTTGCCAATCCCTAGGTACCTTACCCTCTTCCATACATTTATTAAATAATTGCACCAACCACTCCAAAACTATATCCCCACCTGCTTTTAACATTTCTATTTTTATCCCATCAATCCCAGCTGCCTTACCCCCTTTCATTCTACCTACTGCCTCACGAACTTCCCCCACACTCACAACTGGCTCTTCCTCACTCCTACAAGATGTTATTCCTCCTTGCCCTATACACGAAATCACAGCTTCCCTATCTTCATCAACATTCAACAATTCCTCAAAATATTCCCTTCATCTTCCCAATACCTCTAACTCTGCATTTAATAACTCTCCTCTCCTATTTTTAACTGACAAATCCATTTGTTCTCTAGGCTTCCTTAACTTGTTAATCTCACTCCAAAACTTTTTCTTATCTTCAATCAAATTTGTTGATAACATCTCACCCACTCTCTCATTTGCTCTCTTTTTACATTGCTTCACCACTCTCTTAACCTCTCTCTTTTTCTCCATATACTCTTCCCTTCTTGCATCACTTCTACTTTGTAAAAACTTCTCATATGCTAACTTTTTCTCCCTTTACATCTCCCTCTTTACATCATCATTCCACCAATCGCTCCTCTTCCCTCCCGCACCCACCTTCCTGTAACCACAAACTTCTGCTGAACACTCCAACACTATATTTTTAAACCTACCCCATACCTCTTCGATCCCATTGCCTATGCTCTCATTAGCCCATGTATCCTCCAATAGTTGTTTATATCTTACCCTAACTGCCTCCTCTTTTAGTTTATAAACCTTCACCTCTCTTACCTGATACTTCTATTCTCGTTGTATCCCATCTACCTTTTACTCTCAGTGTAGCTACAACTAAAAAGTGATCTGATATATCTGTGGCCCCTCTATAAACATGTACATCCTGAAGTCTACTCAACAGTCTTTTTTCTACCAATACATAATCCAACAAACTACTGTCATTTTGCCCTACATCATATCTTGTATACTTATTTATCCTCTTTTTCTTAAAATATGTATTACCTATAACTAAACCCCTTTCTATACAAAGTTCAATCAAAGGGCTCCCATTATCATTTACACCTGGCACCCCAAACTTGCCTACCACACCCTCTCTAAAAGTTTCTCCTACTTTAGCATTCAGGTCCCCTACCACAATTACTCTCTCACTTGGTTCAAAGGCTCCTATACATTCCCTTAACATCTCCCAAAATCTCTCTCTCTCCTCTACATTCCTCTCTTCTGCAGGTGCATACACGCTTATTATGACCCACTTTTTGCATCCAACCTTTACTTTAATCCATATAATCCTTGAATTTACACATTCATATTCTCTTTTCTCCTTCCATAACTGATCCTTCAACATTATTGGTATCCCTTCCTTAGCTCTAACTCTCTCAGATACTCCAGATTTAATCCCATTTATTTCTTCCCACAGAAACTACCCTACCCCCTTCAGCTTTGTTTCGCTTAGGGCCAGGACATCCAACTTCTTTTCATTCACAACATCAGCAATCATCTGTTTCTTGTCATCCGCACTACATCCACGCACATTCAAGCATCCCAGTTTTATAAAGTTTTTCTTCTACTCTTTTTTAGTAAATGTTTACAGGAGAAGGGGTTACTAGCCCATTGCTCCCGGCATTTTAGTCGCCTTATATGACACGCATGGCTTACGGAGGAAAGATTCTTTTCCACTTCCCCATGGACAATAGAAGAAATAAAGAAGAACAAGTCCTATTTAGAAAAAGGAGAAAAAACCTAGATGTATGTATATATATATGCATGTGCATGTCTGTGAAGTGTGACCAAACTGTAAGTAGGAGTAGCAAGATATCCCTGTTATCTAGTGTTTTTATGGGATGGAAAAAGACACCAGCAATCCTACCATCATGTAAAACAGTTACAGGTTTCTGTTTCACAGTCATCTGGTAGGATGGTAGTACTTCCCTGGGTGGTTGCAATAGATAAAAAAAATCTTAGTACAGTAATTCCCCTGTATCCAAGGGGTATATGTTCAAAGACCTACCTTGGATGCCTGTAACCGTGGGTAGTAGCGAACCATATACAGTGGACCCCTGGATTAGGACGCCATCGGAATAAGTAAACGACACTGAACTCGGTTAAGTCATTCGTCCTGAACATGTCCGCACGGCCTGAACAGTCGAGCAGTCCCAACACTCCATAATACAGTCAGTGTGCCATTGTTTACCAGCCAGTGAGGACGATCCCACACTTTCATGCAATGCATTTTGTATTATTCCATTGTTTTCAGTGCTTGTAACTACTAAATAAGCCACCATGGACCCAAAGAAAGCTTCTAGTGCCAGCCCTTTGGTAAAGAGGGTGAGAAACTCTGTAGAATTCAAGAAAGAGATCATTGCAGAATATGAAAGTGGAGTGCATGTCTCCGAGCTGGGCAGCTTGTATAACAAACCTCATACAATCATCGTTACTATCTTGGCCAAGAAAAAAGCAATCAGGGAACTGTTGTTGTGAAAGATGCAAATATGCTTACAAAACAGAGATTGCAAATACTCAAAGATGTGGAGACTTTGTTGTTGGTGTGGATCAATGAGAAACAATTATCAGGAGATAGTGTTATGCAGTCAATTATATGTGAAAAGGCAAGGCAGCTGCATGATGATCTCATAAAGAAAATGCCTGGAACTAGTGCTGATATTGGTGAATTTAAGGCCAGCAAAGGCTGGTTTGAGAGATTTAAGAATCGTAGTGGCATACACAGTGTAATAAGGCATGGTAAGGCTGCCAGTTCTGACAAAAAAGCTGCTGAAAAATATGTTCAGGACTTCAAAGGGTACATAGAGGATGAAAAATTAAAGCTCCCAACAAGTGTTCAATTGTGATGAATGGTTTTGAAAACCGACAAGTTGAAGATTGAGACACTTATACAACATATGGGAATCTTTATTGAAGAAACGTTTCACCACAAAGTGGCTTCATCAGTCTAATACAAAGCAGAAAGGTGTAAGAAGAGGAGGGGTTTGAGGTAATCAGTCCCTCAGCCTGGAGTCGATGTGTTCAGTCCATCAATCTTGTAGAACATAAGAACATAAGAAAGGAGGAACACTGCAGGAGGCCTGCTGGCCCATACTAGGCAGGTCCTTTACAATTAATCCCACTAACAAAACATTTGCCCAACCCAATTTTCAATGCCACCCAAGAAATAAGCTCTGATGTGAAAGTCCCACTCAAATCCAACCCCTCCCACTCATGTACTTATCCAACCTAGATTTGAAACTACCCAAAGTCCCAGCCTCAATAACCC